TCCTTCTTCAAGGACCGGTCTCTCCTCACAACATGTCAAAAGTGTGTTAGACGGAGCCTCAGAATCCTTGCCTCCCTCCAAGCAAGGATTAAAGTTGTCAATATTTCATCTTGCTTGGATCAACAGCAGTCAGGAGATCAGGAGATAGATTGTATTGAGTAAGTCTACTGACAGGGATCTCTCATAAATATTGAAGAGCAATGATGTCATTCTGAAGAATAACGTGCATCTAATTCAGGCTGTGGACTTTTTAGTCACAAGCTATACATCTGAGAGCTTCCCAGTAATTAAGGATAATAGGAAAAGAATTGATCCCTTTGAGTTGTGGTGTTAAAAGTAAAGCACTGGATATCCCATGGACCACTAAGAAAACAAACAGATGAGTCTTGAAAATAGTGCAGCCACATTGCTCTTTGGAGGCAAAGATGACAAAGCTTCATCTCACATACTTTAGACACCTTGCTAGGAAAGGCATTCCTTGGAGAAGGACATAATACTTGGAAAAGTGGAGGGTCAGTAAGAGAGAGGAAGATCCTTAAATAGATAGTGAGTATAGCAATAGGCTCAAGTGTGTCAGATAATGAGGATGGCACAGGATAGAACAGGATTTGGGTCTCTTGTTCATAACACTATGAGTCATACCCGACTTGACAGCACCTAACAACAACAACAGGACTCAAAGCCTTAAAATTGAGTTTTAGTTGTGTAACTCTTTTTAAATTTAAATTTGTTATTAATTTCCGTAAAAATTTACAGATAGTTTGTTTTTCCATTCATTCACTGTTAACACTTTTCTCCCTTCCCTGCCCTCCCCCCTTGTACACTACCCTCTTGGAAAAGTAAAAGACAAATTCTTTCATTGTTTTACAAACCCTCCTCCACGTTCACTCCACCATGTAGCCTTCACTCTAGACTCCTGTCATGACAAAAATATCTAATCACATATCCCTTTTAAACAGTTTTCCCCTCCTCTGTTTCAATGCAGTATATATTAATGAACCCATCTTTCTCAGTCTCTCCCTAACCCCAAGGTCAGTCCTGTTTTACAACAGTGGCACCATGCAGTATTTGTCCTTTTGTGACTGAGATACTTCACTTAGCATCATGTCCTCCAGAGTCACCCATTTTCAATAATATTGCATGAGTTCCTTGTTTTTCAATGCAGCGTAGTATTCCATTGTGTGAATATACCACAGCTTCTCTATCCATTCATTTGTTAATGGGCACTTAGGTTGTTTCCAGCTCCTTGCTATTGTGAACAAAGCCGCAATAAACATGGGTGTGCAGAGTTGTGTAACTCTTAAAATCAATTTTTTAATTAATTTACATTTATTGCTTCTTATGTAATACTACTTTTAGTTCAGACTGTTATTGCCACTTGTTGTTTTTGTTGTATGCTGTCAAGTCAGAACCAACTCATAGCAGACCCTCCAGCAAGTTTTCAGAAACAGGACACCACATGGGAGGAGATTGCCTGTCTTTCTCCTGCAGATCAGCTGATGATTTGAATCACAAAGCTTTGGAATTGCAGTGCAGCTTCTTACCACCAGGCCACTAGAGCTTCTTATTGTATCTTACTTGCATTGCTTTGTTGTTGTTCTTGTGTACCATTAAGTTAGACTCAATCCATTGCTGACCCTCCAGCAGGTTTTCAAAGTCAGTAATCACACAGGAAGAGAATACCCATCTTTCTCCTACAGAGTAGCTGATGGAATTGAACTGGGTGCTTTTGAGATTTGCAGCAGATTCTGACCATTAGACCACCAGAGCTTCTATGCCTTACTTTCGAACCACATTGTTTTCCTAGGTCTTAAACCCTTTCTCTTTGCCACTTCAATCTCTTTATCACTTGTCACATCACCCTGTACTTCACCATTCTTAATCTTCAAATATCTCAAATACTATATAATTAGTGAAGTCTTTCCCAGATTCTTAACATTGACAGTAATCTGTTTCTACTTTGAATTGCTATAATACTATCGCTTTTATGGCACTAATCATTTTCTGTGTGCTTTTCACGGATATCACTTACCCCGCTAAATGGTAAACTTTTCTAGGCCTTGATTGATTTCTAATTTATTCTAGTAGCTCCTTGAGCCTCTATCATTATTTATTATGATGGTGTATGCTTACTTAATATTAAACTGATATTACAATTACTCAGTCATACAGGCGGGGCAAGTAATGTTAGTCTTTTAAAAGATGCAAGAAATTAGTTCAGAGGGCTTATGAAATTACTTAGGGTCTATTCTTCTATAGTATCAAAACTCTAACCAAAATGTCATTTTTCTAATACCTAAATCATTAGCTATGATATTGACACACATTGCCTTTCTAAGTACCTGGCAGGAAGCAAGCAAAATAGAAACACTGACATGAATTATGTCTAGGTCAGAGACTTACATTTTTCTAACTCCAAGAATTAAAATTTGTTATAAATGTCCTAAAAAAGATATTTCTTTTTCCAATTTTTTAGGATAGTAGTTAGTTAATAATCCATTGCCTGATTTTAAGAGGGTGTTTGTGTGTGTGTAAGAGAGAGAGAGGACTAGAGGGATAGAGTGAGGTGTGAGGAAATAGAGAAAGGAAAATAATTTACTCCAGTTAGGGGAGGAAATGAAGGAAGCAGGAGAAAACAAAGTAGAAATACTTAGCAAACTCCAAATCCTGAAGGTAGGACCAGATCATTTGAGAGGAATATTATTTTTGTACATCTATCTGTTGCCACTGATTTCTACTCTCAAAAGAAGGAATTTGGCAAGACCACGGAGAATTTACTAATTTACTCTTTATGCACTGTCAATAATTGCTTGGTTAGAAATAATTTTTGAAACATTGTTTTTATCTGTTAGATTCTGTTCTATTCCAATAATACTTCCTTTTTTTTTAATTCCCCTAACAGAAGAAGAGGAAGAGCAGGTGCCCACTGATGGAGGCACATCAGCCGAAGCCATGCAGGTTCCCTTGGAAGAAGACGAGGAATTGGAAGAAGAGGAAATTATTAATGATGAGAATTTCTTGGGTAAGAGACCATTGGATAGTCCTGAAGCTGAAGAAATGCCTTCTATGAAGAGACCACGGCTGTTGAACACTAAAGGGGACACCCTAGATGTAGTATTACTGGAAGCCCGAGAGCCACTCAGCTCAATAAATACTCAAAAGATTCCACCAATGCTTTCTCCAGTCCACGTACAGGACAATACAGACATTGCACCTCCGTCTCCAGAGCCACCAATGTTGGCTCCAGTTGCAAAATCACAAATACAAACTGCAAAACCATTAGAAACAAAGCCCTTTACACCGAAAACAAAAACAAAAACTACTTCTCCGGGACAGAAGACTAAATCACCTAAAACTAGTCAATCACCAGCAATGGTCGGAAGTCCTATTCGGTCACCTAAAACGATATCCAAAGAAAAGAAATCACCTGGACGTTCTAAGAGCCCCAAAAGCCCCAAGAGTCCCAAGGTTTTGACTCACATTCCCCAACCACCTATCAGACCTGAAACACCAAACAGGACTCCTTCAGCTACAATAAGTGAAAAAATCAACAAAGAGATTGTACAGGTAAAACAAATACAGACACCCCCTGATGTGGGGAAATTGAACAATGAAAGTCAGCCAAAAAAGGCTGTTGTAACAGATAAAACAATTGATGACTCTATTGATGCCGTGATTGCACGGGCTTGTGCTGAGCGAGAGCCAGATCCTTTTGAGTTTTCTTCTGGATCAGAATCTGAAGGAGACATTTTTACCAGCCCTAAGAGAATTTCAGGTTCAGAGTGTACTACTCCAAAAGCTTCCACTTCCTCAAACAACTTCACTAAATCAGGATCCACTCCTCTGCCTCTTTCAGGTGGAACTTCAAGTTCTGATAATTCATGGACAATGGATGCCTCAATTGATGAGGTGGTACGAAAAGCAAAAATGGGGACACCTTCCAATATCCCTCCCAACTTTGCATATCTCTCCTCTCCCTCGGTCTCTCCTCCTACCCCCGAACCTCTTCATAAGGTGTATGAGGAGAAAGCCAAACTGCCTTCATCAATAGACATAAAGAAGAAGTTGAAAAAAGAACTGAAAACTAAAATGAAAAAGAAAGAAAAGCAGAGAGATAAGGAGAGGGAAAAAGACAAAAGCAAGGAAAAAAGTAAAGAGAAGGATAAAGTTAAAGACAAGGAAGCCAGCAAGGAAACTAAGTATCCATGGAAGGAATTTCTTAAAGATGAAGATTCAGATCCATTTAAAGGTAAAATAAAAGAGTTTGAAGATATGGATCCAAAAGTGAGATTGAAAGATGGACTTGTGAGGAAAGAGAAGCATAAAGATAAGAAGAAAGATCGAGAAAAAGGCAAAAAGGATAAAGATAAGAGAGAAAAAGAAAAGGCTAAGGATAAAAGTAGAGAAGATAAGATGAAAGCCCCACCAACGCCTTTAGTGTTGCCTCCAAAAGAAATGGCTTTGCCCTTGTTCAGCCCTCCTGCTGCAGTGAGGATCCCATCAGTGTTAGCGTCTTTGTCACCAATGCTTCCTGAAAAATTATTTGATGAAAAAGAAAAGCCCAAGGAGAAAGAACGGAAGAAAGATAAGAAGGAGAAAAAGAAAAAGAAGGAGAAAGAGAAAGAAAAGGAGAAGAAAGAGAAGGAAAGGGAAAAAGAGAAAAAAGAGCGAGAGAAGAGAGAAAAAGAAAAGGAGAAACACAAGCATGAAAAAGTAAGCAGTTTATCATTTTCGGCACTATTTGAGCAAAGTCCTAGTGAGAAATACAGGTAAACAAAGCCAGCAATTATAGCTGTATTTTGGATGTAAATTACCCATAACTTAACTGTAGATATGTTTGTAATGAGGTTACAAAATTTCATTATAACTCTAAAACCTGTAAACTTGTAATGAACCACGTTCTCTATCCCTCCTCCAGTTCTCCACTCCTCCTACCTGAGAAACGTTGAAAATATATATCCCAAAACAAACCTAATCACAGAACACAAACTCTGTTATCCTTACTAATTATTGGCAGTTTGGGGGATTTTTTTTTTTCTTTTCTTCTCCCTGCCTCTTTTTAAACAGTCCCTCCGTAAGGACTATCCCCTTAGCTTTGTATCCAAAGACGAAATTTGTAGGTGAAAGGAGTTAGGAGTTAGCCTTCGTTACAGACTGGTTCATTTCAGGGTCGAAAATATGGAACGCTTCACGAATTTGCGTGTCATCCTTGCGCAGGGGCCATGCTAATCTTCTCTGCATCGTTCCGATTTTAGTATATGTGCTGCCGAAGCGAGCACGGGATTTTGTTTTTAATTCTTTAAAATATTAAATCATGAATAAGATGTTTGTCATTAATAAACCCATTACATAATATTTTATACCCAAATACTAGATGCCAAAAAAAAGAATCTATTTTTCTAAGGGTATGTAAAGCTATGTCATTACTTTAAAAGACTAGCAAGGTGTTAAGTCAAACCCACTGGCAGCAAGTTGAATCTGATGTCTAGTGACCCTTCACTAGCTTTCTGAACCTGTAAATCTTTCTGGGATACTACCATCCTTATTGTGGAGAATGGTTGTTGTACACTGTCGAGTCAAAACTGACTTATTTCATAGGCAGTTAATTGCACAAGAGGAGATTGCCGATCTTTTTCCTGTAGAGCAGGTAACAGATTCGAAGCATGTACCTTTGGGTTGGCAGCACAATTCCTCACCGCTAGGTTACCAGTAGAATGGTTAGTAGATTCAAATTACCAAGCTTTTAGTTAGCAACCTAACAGACTATGCCATCAGAGTTCCTTAAAGTTGCTGCTATTTTTCGGTGGATGGGCAAAATATAATTCCATGTAGTAAAATCTTATGCAGATAAACCCAGCTTTCATATAAAGTAGCCAAGGCTGAGCAGAATTTCATACAATTGTACAGAGCTAACTCCATAGCACCTGAGGCAATGACAGAGAAACTGATATATTACCTCTAAAATCTAAAACTGCAAGCTTTTGGGCACAGAAAGTAACCGCAGTGCTTTGCCTTTCTGGGCAAAGAATTTGTCCACAGTTCTTTGATATATGGTAGTTGATTGATTGGTTTGGAACATTTAAACTTTACATAGAGATCCTTAGAGACCTTTTCCCTGCCCTGTATAACAATCCTCTTTAAAATTTCTTTCACATTCTAGTTTATTTATTGATTTAAACAAGTAGAAATTTATCCCCTTAAAGATGTCCAAATTCAATGTGACAGCTCTAGGAGAAGGCTTCCTCCTCTCTCTGTCGGTGGTAGAAGGAAGGCCTTATTTCCTTCAGCATCTTTAGGACCAATGTCCCAGAAGACTCCCATATGTCTTGACCTACCCTAGTACCAAGCTGCTTCATAGCACAGGGCGAGGGTCCAAAGAAGAAATACTCCTCTCCAATCATTTATTTCTACAGGCACTAAAGATTACTAGTTCTTAACTAAGGCTATTAGTACTAAGGGTTCCCACTGCACACTAGCTCACATTCTTCTCCTTTTATCTTTAGTGCGATAAAAGGTGCTAAAGGCTATATCTTAGGGGAACTCACTTTAGATCCAGGTAGAGCTGTGATGAGATCAAAGAGTGTTGCATTCCACCCATAATCCTCTTGTTGTTGTGTATCATCATCCAGTAATAACAGAACCAATCCATAGCTGACCCTCTGGCAGATTTTCAGAGGCTGTTAATTGCACTGCAGGAGATTGCCCATCCTCCCACAGGGCTGAGCAGCTGGTGGATTCCAGCACAGCTTCTTGTCTCTCCTCCTACAACTATTTATTAGATAGATCATGGGGTAAGGATGGTCATTACAGAGGTTCCGCACTATATACATGTGTCTTGGGGGGACACAATTCAGTCTGTGACATTTCACCCTTTAGCCCACAAATATATATCTTAGTCATACGTAAAAAGGTTTCAGCCCATCGCATCATCACAGAAGTCTAAAATCCAAAGCCTGTGCTGTAACAAAATCCTTCTTTATCTGTGAATCTAGAATGCAAATTATCCCCTTCCAAAGAACAATGGTAACACACGCACCAACCAGAACTGTTTACATTAGCCTATAAGGTTTAAAATAATCGTCTGTTCTCTAAGATCACCTAGGTAATGCCTCTACCTTCTAAACTCTGGATGTTGACCATTTTCCCTGTACTCCAGAGTGGTGTACTCTTGGGCCTAATTTCACTTCTGCCTTTCAGGCCCACTTGGAAAACAACTCAGAGCTCCCTCAGCTCTGAATTAGCCCATTCTCTTGGTCCAGCTGAGTGGTGACCTTACGTACTACTAGGTGTCCCATTCTTTGAGTAGTAGCCCATCCTATTGCCAGCCCACACTCAGGAACTAGATTGGCAAAGATCTGACTCTTTGAAACCTCAGAAACTGTGCCCTCATCCCTCTAGAAGCCATGGTTCCACTTTTAAAAAAAAAAATGGGGAGGGATCCCACTCTTTTAAGACTCAGATATTGTGGCCTTACCCTTTAAGACAGACAGCTTTGCTTCCCTTGTTCTTGAAGAAGACAAGAAGCTTATCTTTGAAAATCCAAAATCTCTGTAAATGTTCATTAAAACTAATAAAATTTAATAATAATTTTTTTTTAAAAAGAAGCTTATCTTGCTCCTTAGCTCAGAGGTCATGTTGTTTTGTGTCTCTGCACAGGTGTCTTGCTTTCGTGGTTGCTGATGCTTATTGTCCATGACATCTCTGGTGGTACAAATTTTCTCTTTCCTTCTGAGCCTTTAGCAGAATTGCTTTTATGCCTAAAATTCCTCCAGTACTTTCTTCGGAGGATGCTAGGCTTTTCCTGTTTGTCACCATAAAACTCTTCCATATTCTGCTCATTATCCAATTCCAAAACCATATCCACATTTTAAATATCTGTTCTATAACAGCACCCAAGGCTCACAGTAACAGATTCTGTCTCAGTTATTTGGTGTTACTAATAGCAGATGGCTTTATCAAAATGGAGACTTATTCTCTTACTATTTAGGACACTTATTGTTGCGTGCCTTTGAGTCAGAACCAGCCCATAAGCTGACCCTCCAGTGGGTTTTCAGAGGCAATAATTGCACTGGAGGAGACTGCCCATCCTTCTGCGGAGCAGCTGGTGTATTCAAATGGCACAGCTTTGGGATTGCAACCTGTTTCTTACCACTAGACCACCAGACCTTCCTTTTAGAAGGCTCAAAGTCTAAATTCAGAGTGCCAGCTTTAAGAAGAGAAGGCCCTCTCTCTGTTGTTGGGGGACGTGGGGGTGGGGAGACTGCTTGTTTCCTTAGGCATCTATAGTCCCCACATTGCCTGGAGATCTCGGCGTGTCTTGGCCTTCCCCAGTATCAAGGAGTTTTGTTGCACAGCGACCCAGGTGCAAAAAAACCACACTCAGCTTCGGTGCTTATTTCTTGGTGGTACTAAAGGTCCCCTCAACAGTATTTTTTTAAGATTGGCTACAAAATAATACCCAGTTGAGGTTTTATTATTCCACATAAAATATGTTTGTCCTACAATAGATGTGGGGGTCACCTCTATTGACCTATCAATAATGTTTTCAGTTTCACACTTACCTAGAAAAATTTGTTGAGGTGGCAGCAGCGATGGCAGCCCTCACGCTTTTCTGCCTGACTTCATTCTTTCTTGCCCCCTCCTCCTCCAGCTGCGCTAAATTATAAAGAAGTAGAATGGAAATTCTGATGTCTCTAACCAAACAACTAGGAAATAATAAGACATGGACAGCCAACCTTTATTTCCATTTTTATTGCTACTAAAAATACAGAATGCTTCACGAATTTGTGTGTCATCCTTGCACAGGGGCCATGTAATCTCTGTATCGTTCCAGTTTTAGTCTCTGTGCTGCTGAAGCGAGCACCCTTGATTTCCATTTTTAAAAATAATTTTTATCATGAAATTATAGTTTTGTTTTTTTAACTTTTTTTACATTTTAATTGAGTCTAAAAGAACAGATTTTACAAAATGCTGCAGACACAAATAGTCATTTTAAAAATACTAAAAAAGAATTTTGTAAAATAGTGGAAAGTTGTCAGGAATCATATTCTATTTCCAGGCACTAAGAGGGACAATAGTTTCTTTTCAAATCCTCTATTCTTTTTTTAAAAAATATTTTAATTTATTTATTTTTCATTTCAATGAACATCTACAGAGATTCATTCATTGTTGCACCCTTCTCCCCACACAAACCCCTCCCCCCCCATTTGCTCCTCTCCTTGAAGAGCAAAAGAAAAACTCCCTCATTGGTACACAATCCCCCCGCACCTCCCCCAAATCCCACCTGAAGAGTGAAAATTATAGTTTTATAAAGAGCTTGACAGGTTTTTAGCACTTTTACGTTATTTTATGCTCTTAACATACTTGTGACATAATACATATTATCAGCATCTTGTGAATGAGAAACTGAACTTGAGAGAGTGACTTTTCCATGATCACACCACCAATAAGAGGCAGAGTGGCTTATCCTGCAAATACTGGTCACATTCTGCCAGTGCATTTTTCAATTAGCAACTACTTATTTACCCACCGTGTGCTTAGTAACCTGACAGCCAGGCTCTCAATAAATGAAACAAGGAATTCTTACTTTCATAACCATATTACATTTGGAAAGGCAATGGAGTTGTTCCAATGACCTTTAGAAACTTTAGCTGAACTCATCAGATTAGATTTGTAAAAGTAGTCTATGCCGTTTCTTGCCATCTGCTTGACTT